TAAATAGAGTTATGATTTTTAAGAAGACTGTTTTTTGAGGACAATACTTATATAAGTAAAATTTGCTTGTCTACTCAAAGTCTCACACTAACATGTATTTGAAATACTTTTTCCTGGAATATCATTTCTGGTTTCATCCAGAGTAGATATATCATGGTCTCCTTTGGTTTTCTTTAAAAAAATCAGAAAGCAAAAATGTAATTCATCAAAAACGTGAATACCATGTAATTCACACACACACACACACACACACACACACACACACACACATATATATATATATATATATATATATATAAACATTCCTCTTAACCATTTTATTCTACTCCAACAATTAGAGCAAGCCATCATATTGTGATTCATTGAGTGTTGTAGAATAATTCAGCAGCCTAGACAAGTATCCACTAATTGGCTCTGGGAGTACAGCCATGAATGTCTCTGATTCCCAACAGTTGGGTTAATAGGACTTGCTGCCATTTGTTGCAGGCTTCTAGAAAGAATCAAGAGAGGTGGATAGCATTGATTCCTACAGTCTCTTATGAAAATGGACATCAGGAAACATCAGTTTGTGAAAGTAACACACAAGGTCCTTCATTTCTACCCTGAAGGTAGCTCAGAGCCTTATCCCTTCAGAACTATTAAGGAATGGTTACTGTGGAAGGTGACCACAGTAAGACACTGATTATATGCTACCTTAACTACTCACTGTTCAAACGTTAAAATGCAAAGGCTGATTCTGCAAAAGAAGCTTGATAAACAGTGAAAAGTTTTTGTCAGTCTCAGTATCACCCATTTTATTTGAAACAATTTTGTGTGAAACAGAAATTTATCTGGAACCATCATCAAAGAAAATGACAGGTGAAATAGTGACTCAGAAGGAAATGTCCCAGGACATACAGTCTCTTCCATGTACCAGCTGAGGAAAGAAGCACTTATTTCCAGGCAACTTGTGACTTCCTTTAAGATCAGCTCTACTCTGCACAGGATGTTGAGGAAGCCAGCGTGGGGTCAGGTGACCCTGTGACTGGTATTGTGTGTGAAGAATTCTGTGCCTGGTTACAGATATTCTGCCTGCATTGCAGAGAGTCCTGTGGACTGCACATGCCAGGATTGATGCACTGGGAACTTTCTGCTAGTCTGCCTTATACATGTGTGAGTGTGACTCTCCACATCCACTCAAAATTTACATAGGAAAAAGTCCCCCAGCTTCCACTCAAAATACTGGACTTTCAGTGACTATGGCCTACAGAGGTGATTTTTTTTTAAAATTAGCACATACAGGTTGGACAAAAGTAATTCTTTATTATGTTCTTGTAGTGTACAAGGCGCCCTGATCGAAGTCACATCTCTATCAATCTAAATCACTCGGTCAAGCATGATAACCCTGTCTTCCAAATTCGTTCTTCTTGTTTCACTCTTATATTTTCAAGCGTACATTTAAATAATTTGAGTGTATTCACTCTTCTTCACTCACTTTCTTTAGGTTTACATCATGAACTTTTATAACATTCACATATTTCCAGAGAGATGAAATCATGATACAGAAATAATACCAGTACACTCATCACAGGAGTATGTATATGACCCATATTTTAAAATGAATTTGTTTCCCTTAACTGATGAACTGATAAAAATGTTACATATTGATATAACAAACATGTATAAAAATATAATAATGTCTCTCTCTCTCTCTCTCTCTCTACACATACACACACACATAATCAATGCCCATTTTACATTTGGAAAATAAAAACTACACACATCAACTTTGTTCAAATGATTTTCTTCATCAAAAATTAGGGCAGCAAGTAAACAATGACAGAATATTTCACATTTCGCTAATTGTTCTTATTTTTTTTTCTGGTCCTAGAACTTGAACTCAGGGTCTGGACACTGTCATTGAGCCTCTCTGTGTGCAAGGCTAGCTCTACCACTTAATCCCAGCACCTCTTCAGGCGTTTTCTGTGTATGTGGTACTAAGGAATCAAACCCAGGGCTTCATGCATGCTAGGCATGTTAAGCCACATTCCCAGCCTAATTGCTAATTGTCTTAAGCTCAGCTGGTCACATAGTTTGACCTTGGATTTTGAAACTAAAATATTTCTGTCTCAGAACAAATAAAATTTTGATTACAAAGCAATGTTCTTGTAAAAATTCATCAAATAAAGAATACATAAAATGATACTGGGTTATGAGCACATATTTTTCTTCAGAAACTCATTTTGTAATGATCACAAATGGCTTTTATGATGAGTTGAGATGGGAAGTTTTTAGTATGATTCTCACTTCATGCATTTTCAGATTTTCTTTTCATTTTCAACCCCCCCTTTTGTGTGTGTGTATGTGTGTGAAAATACAGTACAGAGGGGTTACAATTACATGGGCAAGGTGATGAGCACATGTCTTATCAAGCATTGTTGCCTCCTCCTTTGTTTGCCTTCCCATCCCTTCCCATCTCCCCCTCCCCATCGCACCCCAAAGTTGTAAAATTCGTTTTTCAACATTAAGACTTGTATATCTTATTGTTGCAGTGAGTCCAACTGTATCCCTATATAAAAGGTTTGTTTTTTTCCCTTCCTCTCCACAAATTATAACATCAAATACAATGAAAGCAGGGGTTATGCGGTGGGGGAGGGACATAAAAAGCAACAAGGAAATCATCTTATAAATATGTTAGAAACAATGGCAAGAAAGAAAAAACATTTGAATCCTTTTCTTGGGGTTCATTTTGCCTAACATCAGTTTATCTGATCGTTTCTGCTTGTCTCAGACACTTATTAGTTATTGCAAATAAGGGAAACCATGAGTCTTCCTTTGGGAAAATAAATAATATTCAATGAAGCATTTCCAATTCATTATCATTATTTTAATATTTTTCACTCTTGCAAGGAAAAAATCACCTGCTTAAATACATCTAGATAGATGGTGTATTTCCAGTATAACATTGTGTTATATTATGATATATTATATTATATTGATATGAAATTTATATTATATTATAGTATGATTGACAAATTTGTCATGGTTGCGTTATCATTTCCTGACAAGTGTTCTTTTGTAAACAATCAGGTTGACCTACAGATTAAACCACTGTGCACAGGTAGTAAGTACAGATGCAGGCAGGACAAAACCAGTGCAGACAGGAGAGAGCCCAGAATCTTGTGAAGCTGAAAAATTAGTGTGATCCCTGAGAGCTGGAAAGCACTCTGTGTACTGACTGAGTGAGGGGTCACCAAGAGAGGTTGTGGTGTTCACCCGGTGTCCTCATGACACAAGTGATTTCATATTACAAATTTCTCACATTGAAATGAGCATGTTAAATATGTAGCACAGTAAGAATTACGCAGTTCTTCAAGGATATATAGTATGTCCTAATAAGTACTTTCTGCACACTGTGAAATGATTGGCAAAGTTGCAATTATAATTTAAAATGACTCTCATGAATTTCTCTGAATTTCATTGCACTCCATAATTTATAGTACACATTAACTATACATGACATAATTGTACTACTCAATATGTAATTTTTCATGCTAACATTTAAAGATTCCACTTCATAGTGACAGTCATAAAGTCAATATTTATGCTAAAGCTTTCTAATGATTACCAGTGTTACTTTAATATATATATGTTATATATATATATATATATATATATTATATTATGTAGGCATCCTCAATAGGAAAAGGTAATCATGTTCTTCATTTTGTAACCAGATAGAAAAGGCAACATTTTATACATTAAGGCTTGCAACTTCTGTTTTTGAACACACGCCAAGTAATTTTTTTTCTGGAAATTGGTCCCTGAGAATGACACAGTGTTGCACAATTCTCCAAGCCCTTTAAATGAGGTGCCCTGCAGCTAGCAGCTGGGAGAAGCTATAACCACTGCTATGTAGAAAACCAAAGTACTTGTTAGGTATTCTTTTGAGGCAGACCTACCTAGTTTATTTAAGATTAAATCAACCAGAACACACTTTTCAGAAGGATTTACTTTACCACAGATGAAAAGAAACAGTAATTTCAAAATGCACAAAAAATGTATACATGGAATAACAAATGCTGCTACATAATAGAACCTTTCACATTTTATTATTCATTTTATTAGTTCTGAAAAACAAATTTAGGATTAACATATTATATGGATGATCTTTAATGAATTCTTTTCTTTGCAACAGCTTGGGATCACAGTAAGTATTCTTATAAAAACTATGAAATCAGATCAGATAACATTCGCTTTGTTGGAACATTATTTGTAGACATATGACTTGTGCCTTATGCTACATGATATCAGCATTGCTTGAAACAAAACTGTGGACCTGATTTAGATTGATCAAGTTATAATTATTGGGAAAAATTACATGTTAAGTGTTTGACTTTCCACTTTATGATAAAAGATAGAAATTAACCTTTGTGAGAGGTGTGATATTAATGTGCATTAATACAATACTACAAAGTGAAAATTAGGAATTTGACTTTATCAACATTGCAAACAAATGAACAGTGCATGATTCACTGAATATCCTCTCAGTATTTCCTCAGACTAATGTCCTGTTCAGATTTACAGAAATAATTATTAAATCAAATACACTGGTAAGATCCTGCTGTTTCTAAGACTGGAATCAACATCCAAACACAATTAATACAAATAAAGTTATTTAAAATGTGGCTTGATTCTCCAAATCTAGGATACTAGAAACCTAAAAGCACCAATGGTGTACCACTTGTGCAGGCTGAAAATCCTCTTTGTCAAAGAAAACACTTGGAGAAATTTCAGAATCTTTCTCATTAAGAAATACCTTACTATTTATGTTCTATATTAAAATGTCAGTCTGCCTATATGCTTAGGAATTGACAGGTGAGACAAAGCTTAAATTATTACCAATTTTATAAAGGCAAAATTAATTATTAACATGAGCACTGAACAGGTCAGAGAATAAAACTTCATGAGTTTATTTACGCTTTCACCTCTCATTTCTCAATAGTTAACATTACCCCATTATGAATACCTGGAATGACACAAACTTGAGCTTCTTCATCCTTACGGGATTAACAGATTCTGGAGAGGTCCAATTGGCCCTCTCTCTGCTCTTTCTCCTGATCTACCTGATTTCTGAGCTGGGTAACCTAGGTATGATATTAATCATTTGGCTGGATCACCAGCTTCACACACCTATGTATTTTTTTCTCAGTCAACTTTCTTTCCTTGATCTATGTTATTCAAATGTCATCACACCTAAAACCTTAGTGAACTTGCTGACTTCCTCGAAGAGCATTTCATACTTGGGCTGTTTCACTCAGTTGTATGTTTTCATTTTGCTTAGTGCTACAGAATGCTTTCTTCTCTCCTCTATGGCCTATGATCGCTACATTGCTATCTGCAACCCTTTGCACTACCCAGTGATTATGTCACCAAGACTCTGCCGAGTCTTGCTCACTGGGTCCTATATGGTTGGCTTTTTGGATTCCTTTGTCAGTAACCTTTGTATGAGCAGATTGCATTTCTGCAACTCCAACATAATCCATCACTTTTTCTGTGACACATCCCCAATTGTAATCCTATCCTGCAATGACACCTATTTCATTGAGATGATGATAATGTTTCTTGCTGGTTCCACGGTATTAATCTCACTTATCATAATATGTGTGTCCTATGTGTGCATTCTGTTTACTATTATGAAAATCAGTTCCACTTCAGGAAAGCAGAAAGCCTTCTCTACCTGTGCCTCCCATCTCCTTGGGGTCACCATTTTCTATGCCACCGTCATTTTTACTTATTTAAAACCCAAGAAGTCCTACTCGCTGGGAAAGGATCAAGTGGCTTCTGTGTTTTATACTATTGTCATTCCCATGCTGAACCCACTCATTTATAGTCTGAGAAATAAGGAAGTGAAAAATGCTTTCATTAGGGTCATGCAGAAAAGAGGTGGGTTCAGGCAAATAAAATAACAGTGGTTATAAGCCTTTAAAATTAACTATTGTTTTCGTCATTATTGGGCAGGTCTTTTGACTCTCTCTAAAAACATACAAAAATACTGCTTTTGAATGTAACCAAAGCCATGCAGTCTTAAATATTACCCAGAGTGGTTTCTGTGAATCCAAGGTGGAATCCAGTTTGTAGTATTCTAAATTGAATAATACTTGACTTACTTAAAAATTAATAAAATGTAAAGCTCAAATAATTGACAATAGGCTTTCTCCACATCCCTTATTTTGTTATCTGGAAGAGTTCTAAAATTTCCCTTATTTTGAATTATTATCACTGTATTTTAAAATTAGAGCCTATATTTTCATTATTAAGGGTGATAAATGTCCATTTTTCTTTCTCTGGCTTCCTTCCTTTCTTCCCTTTCTTCTCTCCTTCCTTCCTTCCCTTCCCTACTAATTCTGACCCCCATAATTCTGGGTTTGGAATCCCAGGACACTGTGTTTGTTATGTACTCTACCACGATATCACCATTATTCCAAGCCTAGTTTTTATAATTGTACTAGTATTTATTCCAAGTTAATATATTTTCTTATTATCACATTAATCAGGAACTTAAAAAGTATTAACTCAGAGGTGCTTCTTCTTTTTAATTATTATTATTTTTTCTCAAGGTGATGTACAGGGGTTTACAGTTACATAAGTGAGGTTGTAAGTACATCTCTTGTCAAAATGTTACCCCCTCACTCATTTTTCTCCTATTTTGCCTGCCCCCCCAATTCCCCATGTTTGTACAGATCATTTTCAACATAGTGTCTTGTGTATATTGCTGCTGCTTCCTTCCTCCCTTGTCCTTTGTCTACCCAATCCGTTGCTCCCCTTCCCTTCCCTAATTTAAATAAACATACACGTGCTACCAGGGAACCAAAATCAAATACAGCTACAACTGACCACAGGGGGAAGAACATACAAAAATCAAGAAATCACATAGTACACTAAAAACAACAACAACAAAGAAAAACTTGTGTCCATGTCTTGGAGTTCATTTTGCTTAGAACCTTCTTATATGTTCATATATACATAGCTATTGAGCTATTCTGCTTATCTACTAAGATTATTCTAGACGCATACTAACTATTTCAAGTTAGGGAAACCATGGGACCGACGTTTCTTTTGGTTTGTCTTAAAATCACTTGACTTGCTATTTTCCAAGTCGTTCCATTTCCTTACAAATGTGGTGGTGTCATTCTTTTTTTTATTGTGAAAATACTTTATAGAGTGGTTACAATTACATGGGCAAAATAATGAGTACATTTCATACCAAGCATTGTTGTCTCCTCCTTTGTTTTACCTTCCCATCCCTTCCCCTCTCTCCCTCCACCTCCCCAATTCCCTACTCCACCACCACCAACAGGATCACATCCATCCCTGGCCCCCCACCTCACACTTCAGGCCAATGTTGTAAAGTTCGTTTTTCAACATTTGTCTTGTACATCTCATTGTTGCAATGGGTCCACCTGTATCTCTATTTAAACAATTTGTTTTTTCCCTTCCTCTTAGCAAATTATACTGACATCAAATACACTGATGGAAGCACACTGTCTTGTTGATTGGTTTGTTTTTGGGCAGGTTGAGGTGGGGTACAAAACGGTGATACAAATGGTGAAATGTTGCAGCAGTGACACTCACTAGACACTATTTTGAAAATTACTGGATTATTTCAGATTGATTCTGTCTCTCTAATAACCTTCAAATGTGTTTCTTCTTTTACAATTTTCACTGCCTCAGTCTCTGGTAATTTACTCCATTTTGGTTAATTCTTACAACTGATATAGACTTTCACATTAACATGTTCCCTTGACCAACCCCTTCAATAGATCTCAAAGAGTAAAATTCTTAATTCATGTACTTCCTTAAAACCATTGACTCTCCTGATAATTAGAATAGTTTCTTTGGCTTCTTTTACTTTAGGCTGTTACATCCTTCATATTGCCCTTCCTTTCAAGACTAGAGACCTGTTCAACTAACAGCTACAGACAACTGTCTTTAGAATGGTTGTTCATAATAAACCTTTTGTATTGGTCACTATCAAGTAAATGACTACTTGATTCTTCTGGTGTGCATTCATCAGACTGTTTAAAGTACTTTTCGTTCCAATAAAAGACTCATATTCAAGGACTAGGACAATTGCTCTCACTAAAGACTTTTTCATAATGCCCTTGAAAAAAGTAGATATTTTTTCTATTGTTCTAACAATCAACCTTTCCACTATAAAAATGATTAAAATATTATTTTCACTTCTGACTTCACATCTGAATTAATTTTTACACTTCTAAGGAAATGATGACCTCATCTCATTAAACTTCATTATTACTAAATTCATGGGATTGTGTCTATGAATAGTTGGTTGTATGACACATTTGTTGAAAGAATTTGTGAGTTCATTTGAAGAATGAATTTATGAGTTAATATTTTCATGCAAGAGTTTCCTAATATGTGATTTGTATTTGATATTAAAAATGAAAAAAAAAGTGCATTTGTTTTTCTGTTGCAAATTACAGCTTTTGGAAAAAGGCTTTCAATAATACTTTCTGATGGACATGTAAGAATTGGATAGTGACACAATTATCTAGTAAGATGACAATTGTTTTTGTAAGTTCCATGTGAAACATGATAAAGAATAAACAGTAAATACAGTTATGATTTTAAGAAGACTGATGTTTGAGGAAAATACTTATATAAGTAAAATTTGCTTGTCTACTCAAAGTCTCACACTAACATGTATTTGAAATACTTTTTCTTGGAATATCATTTCTGGCTTCATCCAGAGTATGTATATCATGGTCTCCTTTGGTTTTCTTTAAAAAAATCAGAAAGCAAAAATGTAATTCATCAAAATGTGAATACCATGTGATTAATATATATGTATATATTTAAACATTCCTATGAAAGATTTTATTCTGCTCCAACAAGTACAGCAAGTCAATAGATTGTGATTCATTGAGTATTGTAGAATATTTCAGCAGCCTAGACAAGTATCCACTAATTGGCTCTGGGAGTATAGCCATGAATGTCTCTGTTTCCCAAGAGCTGGGTTAACAGAACTTGTGCCATTTGTTGCAGACTTCTAGAAGGAATCAAGACAGGTGGATAGCATTGATTCCTACAGTCCCTTATGAAAACGGACATCAGGAAACATCAGTCTGTGAAAGTAACACACAGGGTCTTTCATTTCTACCCTGAAGGTAACTCAGAGCCTTATCTCTTCAGAAATATTAAGCATTGGTTACTGTGTAAAGTGAACACAGTAAGACACTGAATACATATTTCCCTGGTACTAGCTTATATTATAGGGCAACCTTAACTACTCATTGTTCAAGCTTTCAAGTGCAAAGGCTGATTCTGTACAAGAAGCTTGTTAAACAGCTGAAGCTTTTGTCACTCTTAGGAGCACCTGTTTCATTTGCAACAATTTTGTATGAAAGAGAAATTTATCTGGGATCATAACCAAAAAATGTTAGACAAAAAGTGAGTCAAGAATAAGTGTCACAAGATATACAGTCTCTGCCATGTACCAGCTGAGGGTGGAAACATTTCTCACTTCTAGGCAGCTTGTGACTTCCTTTCAGATCAGCAACCCCCTGCAGAGGGGTCAGTGTGGGGTCAGGTTACCCTGAGACTGGTATTGTGTGTGAAGAATTCTGTGCCTGATTACAGACATTCTGCCTGCACTGGAGAGAGTCCTGTGGACTGCACATGCCAGGATTGGTGCATTGTGAACTTTCTGCCTAGCCAGCCTTATACATGTGTGAGTCTACACCTGTGTGATTCTCCACATCTACTCAACATTTACATACGAAAAAGTCCCCCCAGCTTCCACTCAAAATACTGGACTTTCAGTGACTATGGCCTATAGAGGTGATTTTTTTAAAAATTAGCACATACTGGTTGGACAAAAGTAATTCTTAGGTTCTTGTAAAGGACAAGGTGCCCTGACCGAAGTCACATCTCTATCAATCTAACTCACTCGGTCATTCATGATAACCCTGTCTTCCAAAATCATTCTTCTTGTTTCATTCTTTTATTTTCAAGCACACAAATAAATAATTTGAGTGTATTCACTCATTTTCTTTAGGTTTACTTCACAAACCTGTATAACATTCACAGATTTCCAGAGAGTTGAAATCATGATACAGAAATAATACCAGTACACTCATCACAGGAGTATGTATATGACCCATATTTTAAAATTAACTTGTTTCCCTATAACTGATGAACTGTTAAAAATGTTACATATTGATATAACATACATGTATAAAAATATAATAGATAATGTCTCTCTCTCTACACACACACACACACGCACACACACACACACACACACATGATCAATATCCATTTTACATTTGGAAAATAAAAACTATAAACAGCAACTTTGTTCAAGATGATTTCCTTCACCAAACTTTATGGCACCAAGTAAACAATGAGAGAAAATTACACATTTCGCTAATTGTTCTTGTTTTTATTTTTTTTTCCAGTCCTGGAGCTTGAACTCAGGTCCTGGACACTTTCCTTGAGCCTCTCTGTGTGCAAGGCTGGCTCCACCACTTGATCCAAGCACCTCTTCCGGCTTTTTCTGTCTTTGTGGTACTAAGAAATCAAACCAAAGGCTTCATGCATGCTAGGCAAGCCCTCTAATGCTAAGCCACATTCCCAGCCCAATTGCTAATTGTTCTTTAGCTCAGCTGGTCACATAGTTTGACCATGGATTTTGAAACTAAAATATTTTTGTCTCAGAACAACTAAAACTTTGATTACAAAGCAATGTCCTTGTAAAAATTCATCAAATAAGGAATACATAAAGTAATACTTCTCTATTTAGTTCAGTAAATTTTCTTTTGAAAACCTGGCTTTTGAGCACATATTTTTCCTCAAAACTCATTTTTATAATGATAAGAAATGGCTTTAGTGATGAATTCAGATGAGAAGTTTTTAGTCTGATTCTCACTTCATGCATTTCCAG